TCTAATGAAAATTGAAATAAAATTTAAATTGAAATTAAAGTCAAATTTTAATGGAAATCAAAGTAAAATTCTAATTGAAATTGAAATCAAATTTAAAATAAAATTAAAGTCAAATTTTAATAAAAATTAACTGTAAAATTGAAATTGAAATGAAAGTAAAATTAAAATTGAAATCAAAAGTAAAATTGAAAATGAACTTAAGGCAAAATTTTAATTTATATCGAAGTAAAATTTTAATGAAATTGAAATCAAATTTAAATTGAATTGAAAGTAAAATTTTAATTGAAAATTTGAAATTAAAATTAAATTTAAATTTTATTAAAAGTAAAATTCTAATTAAAATTGAAATCAAATTTAAATTGAAATTAAAGTAAAATCCTAATTGAAATTAAAGTCAAATTTTAATGGAAATCAAAAGTAAAATTGAAAATAAACTTAAAGCAAAATTGATATGAACATTAAATCCAAAATTTAAATTGAAATTAAAGTCAAATTATAATTATTGAAATCAAAATCAAATTTAAATTCAAGTTAAATTTAACATGAAATTTTCCTTTATTTTTAAACAATATTGAAATTTTTATATTTAAATTGAACAATTTTTTCCTAAAATATTTCTTTAACATAATGGCATTTAGAAAAAAACCTTAACATATATTTTTTTAATTAATAGCATCCTTTTTAGTTAAACTAATTAATTCCGTCTGCGTGTTGCTTAAAATTTCTCGTTAGTCTTTTTGACGAATTTAATAGCATTAGATTTAATTAAGTATTCATGATAAAACATTGTGTGTTCCATGTTTTGTCTAAAAGATAATACGGAGAGGCTACATTAATTAGAGAAAAAGTAATTTTTTCACATAGTAGAATAATATTAAGATATTTTAGAAAAAAAAGATGCAAATTTATTCCAAATTATCCTTAATTTTATAATTAATTAAATTTTTGCATTCCTTAGAGTGAAGTATTTAAATTAGTATCAAAAGTTATTTCCATTAAATTATTAAATCATATTATCATATAATTTATTTACTAAATTAACAAAGTAACAATAAAGTGTATAAAATTATAAACAATAAAAAAATTTACAACTATTACCTAAGTAATAATAAAATAAATAAAAATGATTCGATCCCCAAGAGAGTTAGTCCTCCATTTTTTCATAGTTTAAATTTATTTTTCAAAATAAATAAAATTTGTAAATAATATTAATTATTATATTAATATAATTATAATTATTATTGAAATAAAATTGTGTTTATTTGTAAATGAAAAACCATTTTCAATATTATGATTAATTATTATTCTAAGCAAAACGCTTAACGATGATTTAAAAAAACAATTTTTTCTACGAATGTAATAATATTGTTTTTGGTTTTTAATGGAGTTGAATAATAGCAATTATAAATATTTTTAAATAGTGTTTGATATGCACGCGAATCCTTAATTCAAGGTTATTTCAACAAAACGAAAAAAAAATGCTTTTTTAATAATCTTGTTTAATCATACATTCAACGTGAGACTATATTATTAACAGTACTCGTTTTAGAGCAAAATATATAATGAAAGACACATGATTTACTATTTGTGTTATACACATCATTATACAATATATGAGTACTCACTCTGCGATGATATCACGCTAACTTTGTGGTTTGTGAAAAATATCGTTTTATTGGCACTTTAGTGAACATAATAGATTAAAGGATTAAATTCATGGTCAGTTCATAACCTAGACCTTCCCCATTTGTTATTTTTTTTTCTCTCCTTTATACCTCAAAGAATGACACATTCACATTTCCGTCTGGTAAATTTTTATTTTTGCAGTAACTTTTTAACATACACACCCAGAGGAAAATTTTATTTAAACCAAATATACTTTATTTGAATTAAATAAACGTATATTTGCCTCAGAGTCTACTAGGTTATTTATTTGTTTTAAATAGAAATTTTTTTCAGACATAAATAAAATTTTATTTACACCAAATAACACTTTATTTCAACCAAATAAAATTTTATTTCAACCAAATAAAATTTTATTTCAACCAAATAAAATTTTACTTTAACCAAATAAAATTTATTTATACGAAACAAAATTTTATTTAAAACAAATAAAAATTGCTAAAAAATATATCCAAAAGTTAAAAGTTCCAAAATATATTTTTCCAAAATAGAAAATTTTCAAAAGGACTAAAGTTCCAAAATATATTTTAATATTAACAGACTTGTTTTAAATTTATCCCATAAAAAAAGTGTAAAAATATTAAGAGAAAAAAGAAGAGAAAAGTAAAATAATTAAAATACTATTTAAAAATAAAACCAATTTTTCTAAATGCTTCCTGAATAAAAAACTGAAAATTGAAATAAAATTTTTTATTCCAGTTTACGGATTATTATTTGCATGAATTAAAAAATAAATCCTAAGCAATAATATAAATAAATAAATTCTAAACCTGAAATTATTTATCAATAATTCACTAATTAATTAATTCTGAAGGTATTAGTTACAAAAGCGACATTTTGATATGAAAAATACTAAATTTTAAAAAAACTTATGTGAAATTTAGTATAACTATATCAAATATTCAGAATATTAATTAAATTATAATATAATTTTACTAAATTTCACAGCAGTTTTTTTAAAGTTTAGTATATTTTATATCAAAATTTTGCTTTGTCGCACTTTTTCCCCAATTTGTAAAATACTTTTATAAAATTTAATATATATTCTCTCTTCGTGTGTGAAAAAATAATAATAATTAAATATTTATTTCAAGAAGAAGTTATTGATATTTTCGAATAATTTTACAATTTAAGAAATTCGTCAATAAATGTAACAGAACATTTTTTTGAGTAAAATTTTGTCCTTTATTTTCTAAAAATTAAAAAAATTCCAAATTCATTTTCAATTAAAATTTGTAATTGAACAAATAGAATTTAAAAACATTTCTTTGCTTTATTTTGAAAAAACTTTGAATTTTAAACAAAAGCATACACAAAAACTAACTTCAGAATGTGAGGTACAGAAAAATGAAAGAATGAAATACGAAGATTATTATAGTTAATTAATTAATATTAAAATTATTATCATTCGTTGACGAATTTTTGTAACTTTTTATCTTTTATTTATTTTCTATAATTTAATTTTTTAATTTAATTCATTTTATTTGATTATATTTAGTACATTTAATGTATTTATTTTATTTATTGTCTTTATTTTCTTTATTCTTTTATTTTTTTATTTTATCTCTAAATCTGTGAAATTCCACTGCTAATCAGTGAATTTTGACTGATTTTCAATGATTTATGTAATTATATTTAGTTTATTTATTTTCTTTATTGTCTATATTTTTTTTTGCTTTTTTATTTTTTTTGTATTTTTTCTCTAAATCTAAATATTTCACTGAAAATAATTGTATTTTGACAGATTTTCAATGATTTATTTATTATTATTTACTTAATTTACTTAATTTAATTTATTTACCTTTTTTATTCCATTTATTTTATTTATTATCTTTATTTTCCTTATTTTCTTTTTTTATAATCTTCATTTTTTTATTTCCTCTCTAAATCTGATCTAATCAAATTTCATCAACAATCAGTGAATTTTGACTGATTTTCAGTGATTTATATAATTATATTTAGTTAATTTCTTTTATTTATTTATTTTCTTTGTTGTCTGTATCTTCTTTGCTTTCTTTATTTTTTTTAATTTCTGTCTAAATCTGAATCAGTGAAATTCCACTGGCAATCAATTAATGTTGACTGATTTCTAATTTAAATTTCTTTTGACAACACTAAAAAAATTCAATTTTGGAGAAATTAAAAATAATTGCAGAAATTCAATTATTTTCAAAAAAAAAAAAAAATAAATAAAATTCTTCTTATAAAATTCAACTATGTTCAAAATTTGAAAAAAATTCTCGTAAAAATCCCAATTATATCTTTATAAATAACAAAATTCCTCTCCAAAGTTCAATTATTTTCATAAATGTCAAAAAAATTCTTGTCCTAATTTCAATTATTTTCATTATCTACTATTTTAATAAAATTTCCCAAAAAGAATTCAATTCTTTAACAAAATTTTTAATAAAATTTATTGTATGCAAAAAATTAATTATTTTCATAAATAATAAAAATTTTACATGAATTCAATTATTTACATAAAAAATAATTTCAAATTCTAGAAAATAATAATTGAATTAAAAAGATAAAAATAATTTTGATGAAGTTACAGTAACAATATTCATATAATATAAAATAATGATTTTATCTCTCGGCCATCTTTAATTATTTATAAAACATGAAGAAATCGATCACTCCGAGTCTTCGACTCGGAGCAATCGATGTCTTCATGTTTTATAACAAATACTTTTATAAGTTGTTTAATATTTAAAAAAGGTTTGAATTTGAAATTTTTGAATGTCTTAATTCCTGTGAAAAATCCTGTTCCAAAAATAAGATTAAAAATAGTAATTAAAAAAAATTCTCGTAAAAATCCCAATTATATCTTATTTATAAATAACAAAATTCTTCTCCAAAGTTCAATTAGTAATTGTGCAAATATTTTTCTTCTTTTTCTAAAACAAAATAATAATTTTGTTAAAAAAAATTGTGATTCATAAAGAAAAATAATGCAAAATAAATAAATTTTTTATTTCTTAATCACAGTTGTTCAACAATTTTCTAATTTTCTTTAGAAGTAAAGAACAAAAATCTGCATAATTTCATTTTGACAAAACATAATATTTAACATAATTTTAGTCTTTTGATGAAATGAAGTAAAAAAATTCTGATGATTTCTATTTGTCATTACAATTTTGAATTAATTATAAAATAAAAATAATTATAACACAATATTATAATTTGTTGAGTAATGAGAAGGCATAATAATATAATATACAATCTATCTAAAGATAACATAATAATATGTTTAATATATAATTATTAAATAATTTTGTTTAATATATTTATTTTAAATGTGTGCTTTTTCTCCACAGGTCACCATTGTCGGGTGTCGACGGCCAGGAGAGGAAAGATGAGAGAAAATCATATTATCCACAGGAGCCAAGCAGGCTACCAAGAACAAGGAGACAAAAGATGGTGACATGTTTATCGCACAATGCATTGACATTACTCACAGTTCTTGGTGTTGTTGGCGGTGTTGTTTTGGGAATTTCGTTAAAAGCAAGTCGCGACAAATGGAGTCAAAGAGAACGGATGTACGTTAATTATGCCGGGGAATTATTTTTGCGAATGTTAAAGGGTTTGATTCTACCATTAATTATGTCAAGTTTGATCTCAGCCATTGGATCTCTAGATCTTTCTCTTAGTGGAAAAATAGGAAGTCGAGCAGTAGTCTATTATTTTGTCACCACCATTAGTGCTGTTATTTTGGGTGAGTTGATTTTCATTGTTATTATTATAATAAATATTTATTTATTATAAATTATAAATTATTTATTATAAATAAATATTCCACTTCTGGTACAAAAAAAGTTGTTTTTTTTTTGTTTCAAATACTTTTTCATAAAAAATCTTCTTTCAAAATAGTTTTTCATTTCTGAAAAATTTCCCATCAGTTCAAAGAATTTTAATTTAATTGTCATTTGTCAACATTTCTTTTCAATTGAATACACAAGTAATTAAAGTTTCGTCAGACTAATTTTAGATTTTTCTATACTGAAAAAGGGAATATAGAAAAATATAATTATTTGTCTGACCAAAATTGACTTTTACTACTGATTTTTAATAATATAAAATAATTAAGGTTTCTTTTGACTCTTTGGAGTTTCTTTAATAATTTTAATTGAAAATTTTGAAAGCAATTGAATTTTATGAGGAAGAATTTGATTAAAATTGTATTGAAAATAATTGAATTCCTGCGAGAAGAATTTTATTATTTTTAAAAATAATTGAATTCTTGCGAAGAATTGTACTATTTATAAAAATAATTGAATTGTTTTGAAGAATTTATGAAAATTTTAGGAAATAAATTAATTTCATGTTAATATTTGAAAATAATTAAATTCTTTTGAAGAATTCTATTAAAAAAAATTGATTTGAAAAAAATTTAATTTCTGCAAAGAATTAATTAATAATAAAACGAAGTTTTCTCTCTTGTTTCAAGAAACTAAAGAATATTATTTACTTTTAAAGGTATAATTTTGGTAATTAGTATTCGACCCGGTGGTGGCGATCTTGTACTCGACGCAGTTGCCGAAAGCAAAGAACAACGTAATGTTACAACTCCTGACACATTATTAGATTTAATTCGAAATATGTTTCCACCGAATTTAGTGGAGGCTTGCATTTCCCAATATCGAACGGGTATATACTACGATCCTGATCCAGTGAAAAATCAGTCAGCAAGTATGAAAAATTTTCATTATAATAACAATAAATAGTAATAATAAAAATAATAACAAAAATTATTATTATAGCAGGAAAAATTATAGTATAAATTACAAAATTGTAATAATAATAATAATATAAAAATATTTTATCATACTATTTAATTTATTTTTTCAAATTATATAATTTATTACTTAATCATATTCATTCATTTCTTCGGAGAAAAAAATGAAAAGTTACTTTTCCTAAATTCAGAAAGTAAAATATAAACTGTAATTTTTTTCTATATCTTTTCTTCTTATTTTTTATTTTTCTATTTCTATTTCTATTTCTATTCTATTTCCGAATAAGAATTCACGTTTATATTTGCAAAACATTAATAATCAACGATTATAAGAAAAAAAAGATTTCTCTCGATAATCAATAAAATACTTTAATTTCAAAATTTTTTTTCTTCAATTGTTGATTAAAAGAACTTTGTAATAATTTTCTTTTTTAAACAAAAATTTATGATAATTTAAATAGAAAAATGTTTATAAAAATTTTAATAGAAAATTAGCCATAAAAAGCTTAATAGGAAAATCGTTTATAAAAAGTTAAAAAGGAAAATATTCATACTAATAGAAAATAGAATAGAAAAATATTTACAATAAAAATTAAGAAAATAAAGAATTTATCAAAATTCAAACAGAAAGATAATTATAAAAATTAATTTAGAAAAGTGTTCGATAACAAAAATTAAAATAGAAAAATATTTATCAATATCTAAATAGAAAAATATTCATAAAAAATATAAAATTATTATTCAATAAAATTTGAATAGTACATTATTTTTAAAAATTAAACTAGAAAAAATTAGCATTTAAAGAAAAAGATATTTCTAAAAATTAAAATTGTAAAATATTTTCCTTCTCTTCTAAACTGTTGATTCTTTTTTTTCTATTTTCAAGCAAAAAAAAAATTCCAATTATCATTTTAGCTGATAAATTTACGTGGACGTGATTAAAAGAACTTTGTAATAATTTTTTTTTAAACAAAATTTTATGAGAATTTAAATAGAAAAATGTTTATAAAACTATTAATAGAAAATTAATCATAAAAAGTTAAATAGGAAAATATTCATACTTTAGAAAATAGAATAGAAAAATATTTACAATAAAAATTAAGAAAGAAAAGAGTTTATCAAAATTTAAAGTTTAAACAGAAAGATAATTATAAAAATTAATTTAGAAAAGTGTTCGATAACAAAAATTGAAATAGAAAAATATTTATCAATATATAAATAGAAAAATATTCATAAAAATATAAAATTATTATTCATTAAAATTTGAATAGTAAATTATTTTTAAAAATTAAACTAGATATAATTAATTAGCATTTAAAGAAAAAGATATTTCTAAAAATTAAAATTGTAAAATATTTTTCTTCTCTTCTAAACTGTTGATTCTTTTTTCTTCTACTTTCAAGCAAAAAATAAAATTTCCAATTATCATTTTAGCTGATAAATTTACGTGGACAATAAAAGACGAGTCGGCGAGTGGCACAAATATTTTGGGCCTTGTCGTTTTCTCAGCAGTTTTGGGCATCACTTTAGGAAAAATGGGCCAACCCGGAAAGCCTCTATTGTACTTTTTCGAAGCACTTTCGTCTGCCATGATGATTATTACAAACTGGGTCGTTTGGTAAGTCCTAATTTTCTTACCCTTGTAAAAAAATTTTTTTTTCAAAATACTTTTCTATAAAAAAATCTTTTTTTTAAAAATACTTTTCTATAAAAAACACTTTTTTTTAAAAATACTTTTAGGTTTTTCTCCTGAAAGATGTAATTCAGGAAAATTATACAATGCTTTGTCTGACTAAAATTGACCTTTACTACTGATTTTCAATGTTTTTTTATTAATGAAAGTTTCGTCTGACAACTTTTGGATATTTCTACTGAAAAATGGAATTAATTGAATGCTTTGTCTGACTGAAATTTACTTTTACCACTAATTTTCACTTCTACAAAATCATGAAAGTTTCGTCTGACTACTTCTAGTTTTCTCTACTAAAAATGTAAATTTTAAATAAAATTACACAATAGTTTGTCTGATTGAAATTGATTTATACTACTGATATCCAATTTCTAAAATTAATTAAAACTTTGTCTGACTACTTTTGTTTTTTTCTACTGAGAAAACGATGAAGAAAAATTACACAAGAATTTGTCAGATTGAAATTTACTTATACTACTGATTTTTAGTTTTAAATATTGAAAAAAAAATTTTTTCTGACTACTTTTAGTTGTTTCCACAGAAGAAAGTGTTTTAAACTAATTATAGAATTGATTGTCTGTCTGAAATTGACTTTTACTACTAATTTCCATTTCTACAAAATCATGAAAGTTTTGTCTGACTATTTTTAACTTTTTCTACTGAAAAAAGAAATTTAGAAAATTTGTAGAAGTTTTTCCCGACTGTAATTGACATTTACTACTGATTTCAGTTGTACAAAACTAATTAAACTTGTGTCTGATTACTTCAGAGCTTTTTTTTTTTTACTTAAAAAACAGAATTCAAGAAAGTCAGAATTTTTTTTACCTTAAATTAAATTTTTACTACTGATTTTGAATTCGAATTATTTGAAGCAAATACATATTTATCAGATCCAAGTAAAAATTATAAAATTATTTGTCTGACTAAAATTGACTTTTACTACTGATTTTTAGTTTTATAAACGTAATTAATGTTTTCCTGATTTTTTTTTACTTATTGTTTCTATTCAAAAAGAAATGTAAAAAAATTATAAAATGATTCTACTGAAAAATAGAAGTTTCGAAAATTACAGAATCATTTGCCAGATTAAAATTAATTTGCACTTGTGATTTTTTAGCTTCAAAAATTCATGAAAAATTTTTTTAACGTTTTTTTTTGTCTTTTTCTACTAAAAAACAATGCAAAAAACTTAGATAATTATTTATCTGACCAAAATTGACTTTTACTATTGAATTTCAGCTTTAAAAAAATTCATGAAAGTTCCGTCTGACTACTTTTAGTTTTTTCTACTGAAAATTAAATTAAGATAAATTATATAAAGATTCGAATGATTAAAATTGACTTGTACTACTGATTTTTCAATTTAGAAAATTTATAAAAAGTTTCGTCTGACTACTTTTTGTTGTTTCTACTGAAAAAATATTTTTAATAATTATAAAATTATTTGTCTGCATAAAATTTACTATTTACTACTGATTTTTAGTTTTAAAAAAATTTATGAATGTTTCGTCTGATTACTTTTAGTTGTTTCAACTAAAAAAATATTTGTAATGATTATAAAATTATTTGTCTGACTAAAATTGACTTTTACTACTGATTTTTAGTTTTATAAACGTAATTAATATTTTCTCTGATTTTTTCTACTTGTTTCTTTTCAAAAAGAAATATAAAAAAATTATAAAATGATTCTACTGAAAAATAGAATTTTCGAAAATTGCAGAATGATTTGCCAGATTAAAATTTATTTGCACTACTGATTTTTCAATTTAGAAAATCTATTGAAAGTTCTGTCTTCTTACTGAAAAAATATTTTTAATAATTATAAAATTATTTGTCTGGCTAAAATTGACTTTTACTACTGATTTTTAGTTTTATAAAAATTCATAAAAGTTATTATTATCTATTTATTATTATTTTAAAAATAAAATAATAATAGTAATTAGATTTTCATAGTTCAAAATAAAATGCCACACATTTCGAAAAAAACATAATGGAATTCATTCATTATTGAACAAAGTGAACTACAAATGAACATAAATTTACAAAATTTAATAAATTTGTAATTTTCTTTTACTATTAATATTTAAATAATTTTTTCAATAATAAATTTCAGGCTATCGCCAATGGGAGTAATGTTTCTAGTGGCGGCGAGAATCATTGAAATAGAATCAATTGAAACAACAGTGAGACAATTGGGAATGTATTTTATGACAGTTTTAATTGGATTATGTATTCATGGATTTGTAATTCTGCCGACAATATTTTTTATGCTAACAAAAAGAAATCCATTGACATACGTATCAAATATGGCGCAAGCTTTAGTAACGGCATTTGGAACATCGTCGAGTTCAGCAACACTTCCAGTTGCAATTGGTTGCCTGGAGGATAGAAATGGAATTGACTCGAGAGTTACGCGTTTTGTAATGCCGATAGGAGCAACGATCAATATGGACGGTACTGCTCTATATGAGGCTGTGGCTGCTATCTTCATTTCGCAAACGCTTAAACAGGATTTGAGCCTCGGTCAAATTGTGGCTGTTAGGTGAGTGCATGGCAAATATAATTCAAAATTTCACCCAATTTCCATATCCACATATCGTACAGTTCAATGAATTAATACTCCAACTATTATTATTATTATTATTATTGTCATAAAATAGAAAAATGGAAAAATTCCCAATTTTATAAAGAAATAATATTTCTTTTGTACTTTTGTGGAAAAAAATGTTTTTTCAAACTTAAATCTATATACAGGGTGTCTACTAATCGGGAATTTAATTTGACCGAGAAAACCCGGGAATAAGCCAGGCATTTTATGCCAAACCGGGAATTTTTTCACCAAATTAAAAAAAATTTTATTATTTTAATTTGTTTTTAAAAAATCGCTTTTTATTTCAATTTTTATAGATATTTATACTGTTCTCTAAATTTTAATTAGTTAAAAATAGTAAAAAATCAGTCACTGATTCAAATGTAGTATAAATAAATTTTTAAAAAATTATCGAATTAATAGAAATTTTGTGAAATTCAACTGAAAATAATTAAATTTGTTAAAGAATTTCATTAAAAACCTTTTTAACAAATCGAATTTTCAAAGTATTTTAATTTAATAAATGATAAATAATAGAATTTTATAGTCACATTCTAATATATTCATGATTCTTAGTGCAAAGATAATTAATTAAAATTTTTATTAGTTAATTTAAAAAAAGATACACACTTAAAAATTTTTAATAAAATTTCATTTTCGCAAAGTTTTTTTGAAAATTCTGAAAAATAAGATTTTTGGAATTTTTCAATTCTATTGTTTCAAGATACCTAATTGAATTTTTATAAAGAAATAATTAAAAATTTTTGAAATAATTGAAATTTCTTTACATTCTATGAAAAATAATTAAATTCTTTTAAAGAAATTTATTTAAATTTTTCCAAAATAGTCAAGGGAAGTTAGTCACGTAATTATAATTTTATTTTTAAAAAATTTTTCGGATAATATATTCAATTATTTTCATAAATAGTAAAACTAATTGCAGAATTTCAATTATTTTTTTTAATACAATTTTAATCAAATTCCTTGAAAAATCTAATTATTCTTAAAAATTTTATTAAAATTCGTCGAAAGAATTCAATTATTTCTAGAAACTGTAAAAAAATTCTTCTCAAGAATTCAATTATTTCCATAAATAGCAAAATTCTTTATATTTACTAAATTCTTTTGAATATTATTTTTAAAAAAAATTCTTCACAAAAATTTAATTATTTTCATAAATTTCCATAAAATTCTTCGCAAAAATTCAATTAGGCATGTTTAAAAATTATTTAAAATTCTCGAAATTTCAATTATCTTTATAAAGATTATTTTAAAAAATTGAAAAAATTCTTTATTTAATTCAATTATTTTCCAAATTTTTAATTAAAATTATTAACAAAGCATTATTTTCAAAAAATTTAAAGAAACTTGTCAAAAGAACTTAATTATTCATAAAAACTCTAATAAAAATTTTGGAAGACATTTGTAGATTAATTTATTTTTCTAAATCAAATAAATTTAAATTTGATCAGAAAAAAAAACCGGGAAAAATTAGGACAAACCCGGGAATTTTGTTGAATGAAAATAGTAGACACCCTAATATAGAGAAAATTTCCTTTTCTTTTTTGAATACGAAAGGAAAATTATTATCTCTTTTTTCAATTGAATGAAAATTCAAAAATGTATGAAAATTCGTAAATTATTCAATTAAATGTATATTAGAAAACAAAAAATTTAAATAATATAAAAAAAATTAAATCAAACTTTTTCAAAAAAATTGTAATTTCAAATTTTAATTATTTCTAAAAATACGCGCTATATTGTTTTATTCAAAAATTCTACTAGAATTCAATTATTTAAATACAAAAATAAATAATTTATTGAATTCTTTTTACGAATTTTAATACAATTTTTAAGAATAATTCCATTTTTTCAGGAAGTAGATTAAAATTGTATTAAAAATAATTGAAATTCTTCGATGAGTTGTTTTTTATGTAAAAATAATTGAATCCCTAAGAAGAAATTTATTGTTTACGAAAGTAATTGAATTCCTGTAAAAAGTTTATTATTTATGAAAATAATTGAATGATTGCGAAGAAATTTATAAAAAATTTGTAAATAATTGAATTCCTGTGAAACTTTTTTTAATTCATGAAAATAATTAAATGTTTGAGTAGAACATTTAAAATTTTTTTTTAAATAATTGAAATCTTTTGTAAAATTTTATTAAAATAGTAGATATTGAAAATTCTTAAATTGAGGGAAATTTTTCAAAATAATTGAAATTTTAACAAGAATTTAATTAAAATTTTCGAAAATAATTGAATTTCAGAGTGAGAATTTAAAATTAATTTAATTTAATTTAATTAATAACTTTTTTTTAATAATAAAATAACTTTTATTCGGTTGTTGAGCAAATAATAATAATTTATCGACCGAGTGATAGCATCATTACTATATATAATTATAATAATAAACAAATATAAAAAAAATTTAAAATTTAAAATTAAAAACTCTTGATAATATAATCATTGAATTTTTATTCAGAAAAGAGTTGCGGATTTGAAGAACAAAACATTTGGGTTGATATGTAAATAGAAATTTTTGTCTGTTGTGCAAATAAAATTTAACTTACCGAACGAACGTTTTGTTGTTAAAAGCAAACTCTCCTCTCATAGAGCTCGTTAATGAAAATAAAGTGTAATTAAATAAATTCAAAATAATTACAGTATCACTGCAACTGCTGCGAGTATTGGCGCAGCAGGAATCCCGCAGGCGGGATTGGTAACAATGGTTATGGTACTGGATACTGTGGGGATCGACGCTAAAAACGTCGCTACAATTCTAGCGGTCGATTGGTTATTGTAAGTAATTATAAACAAAAAAAAATTCATTTTTTTCGATTCTAAAAATTAGACAGTAAAATTTTTTTAATCATATAATATTTTTTACAATTATAAAAGGAAAAATTTTACTAAAAAAAAAAGTTCTGTTACATTTATTTTCGAATTTCTTTTAAATTATTCGAAAACATCAATAACTTCTTTTAAATAAATATTTAATTTTTATTATTTTTCCACAGGAATTAAAATTTTTAAAAATTCAAATTCAAACATTTTTCAATTCTGTCTGACCTCTACCGTCTTTTTTCACTTTACTTTCTTTTTCTATACGTATTTTTAAGTATTTTAAGAATTTTATGTTTTTAACAATTAAATTAGAATCAAATAATTTCAAAAACAGTAAAAATAAAAATAAAAAAATAAAAATAAAAAAATAAAAATAGTAAAAATAGTAAAAAAACAGTAAATTCAAAACTTCTTCACTAAAAAAAAAAAATATTATTTTCCAGGGACCGCTGCAGAACGACTGTCAACGTACTTGGCGATTCATTAGGAGCAGGAATAGTGAATCATTTAAGTAGAAATGAATTAGCAGCACTACCCCGAGTGGATAAAATGACATCCGATCATCATGCCACCTCGATATGAGCTTAATCAGTTAAAAACAAATAAAAATTCGCGATTATAACGCCTTGCGTGTTCGACACACACTCACACACATTTTCGCTTAATAATATTCAATCTTTGGATATTCGGCAATGTTTTATGAGAAACGCAAAAGAAAACAAAAAAAAAGTTAAAATAATAATAATAATTCTAATTCTAATTAAATCAGAATCTTTAATCTTTCGGAACATGAATAGCATATCAAATTGTATATGCGCGCAAAGAATTATGTGATAATTTTTGAGTTCCGTCAAAACTTAAAAGCAAACAAAAAAAAAGAAAAAAGAAGAGCTTTATTTTGAGGACTTACTGCACAAACTATTTTCTTATATTCGATAAATTATTTCTCGCGGAGGCGACTTTACAAAAAAAAGAAAAATACGTTAATTAAAAAAAAATAGATGTGTATTTTATTCCTTCTTGTCCGGCACAAGATGGCTTTACGTATTTTCCTATAATCGAATTTATTTTCAAAAAAGAAGAAAAATTAACGTATTATTTAATTCTATAATTTAAACCTATAAACAATATAAATTAATAAATTAATTTTTGTAATTAATAAAAATACAACAAAAGAAACCACGAACAATAATCAAAATGTTGAAACAATATAATAATAATAATAATAATGATAATAAATGAGCATAAAAAGGAAAAAATATTTCCAAGCTCGTAAATTATGTAAATTACTCGAGTGTTCAAAAGTTACAATTGAAAATCAAAAGTCTGCACAGACAATAAAAAAAAATACTCTATTCTAAGAGTACTTCCAAATGAGCGATTTTTATCAAATAAAAATTCTACAATCGCTAAAGAAATTTTTCTTCAATTTAATATATAACTTCCATCCAAAGTCATTTTAGTAAAAAAAAATTTCATTATCAAAAATTAAAATTTTAAATTCAGTTTTTGATTAGACTTCAATTTGTCAACAACTTTACAATTTAATAAATTTTGAATAGAAAACAAAAAATTCATGAAAGTGACTTGATAGGGTTTGTATTAAATTTAATAAAAATTTTTTCTAAAAGTGCACCAGTTTGATACGAAAAAAAAAGAAAAAACAATTTTCAGCCGCTCTTTTAAATCATCCAAAAAAGCAATTACAAAACAAATCCATTTTCTTGTCGAATTATAATAATTGCATTAGCTCAAATAAGTCAAATGAACAATGATGATTAAAAAAGAAAAAAAAAATTATAAACGAAAAGAAAGATCGCTGCCAAAGTACTCGTATACTAAACTCGTTATATAGTCATCCTCGAGTCCTCGATACTCGCTCGAAATATCGAAAAATATAGTGATATAAATGTATATGAGCATTAATCATTGCTCATTAGCCACTAAACAAATAATCTCATTAATAGACTAAAAGAAAAAAATAATTGATAAAGTTAGAAGCAAGGAAAGAAAGAAAGAGAAAAGATACACTGTAAAAAGAATGTTACTAATTTATTATCAATTTTGGTACTAATTACTAAATTGTAATTTGGTTCTTTTTTAATTTTTAATACCAAAAATTAGATGTAATTTAGTACTTTTTTCAACTGAAAAAAAATTTATTTGATTCAAATAACTGTCTACTTGGCTATTATCAATTAAATATTTACTTGAATCAAATAAATTTTTTTTTAGTGTACAGTACAGAAAGAGAGAAGGAAATAAAGAAAGAGATAAACTCTGTTAACTTAAAAGCATCAAATTTTAACGAATTGGTACCAAAAATGTGGAGCAAATAAAAAATTGATCCAAATTTTAGGCATCAATTTGATGCACTTTAGTGTCAATTTTATACTTTCAAGAAAATTGCGAAAGGAATGAGAGAAAGAAAGAAATAAGAACAGAAAAAGGAAGGAATTAAAAAAATAATAAAAGAAAATAAAAAGAAAGAAGAAGAAAGAAAGAAAGGAAAAAAAAGAAAGAAAGAAAACAAAAAGAAAGGAAAGAAGAAGATACTTTAGTGTCAATTTTATACTTTCAAGAAAATTGCGAAAAGAATGAGAGAAAGAAACAAGAACAGAAAAAGAAAGGCAAGAAAATTAAAAGAAAGAAAGGAAAAAAGAAGAAAGAAAGGAAAAAACAAAGAAATAAAGAAAGAAAAATAAGGAAAGAGAAAGAAACAAAAAAAAAGTAGAAGAAAAAGAAATAAAGAAAAAATAAGGAAAGAAAAAAACAACAAAGAAAAATATAAGGAAATAAATAAAGAGAGAAAATTATCAAAAATAAACTAGAAAAAAATATTAAAAATAAACAAAAACGCGAAGCAAAAAAAACAATATTAAGTGTTCTAGCCAATTTTCTCATTGTACATGTACTCGTTATTGTCTTCTAGCGTATCAGTCATTGTTGTAATGATTTAGATCATATACACACGGCATAAGATCCAAATATAAATACTAGACATATAATAAAAATTTTGTCCCTAAGATATAGTCTATGTAATGTTAATGTGAGATAATGAAAAAAAAATACTTATGAATGCAAGTGCTGTACATTAAAACGAAACGATTGTTACATTTGCAAAAATTTGAGTAACAATTTTCGATTTTATTAATTCTTCAATTTTCATGAAAAAAAAAATACAATTTTAGATAATTGCGTCACTTATAAAATTATTTTTTATTCCAAATGTCAAAGGTTTTTTAATTGCAATTTTTATTCTTTTTCTCTCATTTCCAAACTTTTTTTTTAAATTCACACAAAGGAAAAATAATTCTTATTGATTGTACTAAAATTAAATTAAATTTCAATTTTTAAATTAAAATTAAATTATGAATTTCAATTTTTAAATTAAAATAAAAATAGACTATGAAATTGAATTTGTGTAAATTTAAATTCAGGCAAAATTTCAATTTAGAATAATTGACAATATTGTTGCGCAGTTATCTAAAAAAATAAAAAAATTTTGTGAATCCTTGTTGACAATGTAAGAAGAAAATCTCATGACATTTATGATCGAGGCACGGAATATTTTCGATTATTAAAATAATAATTAAAATTTGAATTTATAACCATTAAAACAATTTATTAGAATATTTTTAAGTAGATAAATAAATATTGTAAAATTTTAAGTTTTATTTTAATTTATTCGAATTATTAAATTATTATTATTAAATTTTTAGTAATTATTATTATTTGTAGTACGCAGCTATGTCTGAATAAATTTTAAATATAATTATTATTACTATTAGTTTATTCACTAAAAAAAAAATATTTGATTCAAATAAATTTTTTTTCCAGTCTTCAAGTTTTCAATATGAAAAAATTTTATTTAATAAATATTGAAAAATTGAAAAACACTTTATGTAAATAATTTTTTAATATTTGGAAGTTTCCCAAAAAATATTAGATATTAAAACAAAGCAAAATTTCTTGCTTTTTCTAATTAAACATTTTCAATGGATTTAAATGTTTTTTACAAATTTTTTAAAACAATTTTTTCTTTAAATTATGAAGTTTTATTAAATTATAATTAAAGTTCTGATTTAATAAAAGAAATTTGCAAAAAAAATTTTTTTTTTATTTCTATTTTTAATATGAAAATACAAATTTCTTTTAAAGTATTTCAAACAATGACAACTGTTATTTAATTAATTTATTTTCATTATTTAATTAAATAAATAATTATTTTAACGTTTAAACAATATCAAAAGTAAAAAACAAAAAAACTTTCTTCCGTGTCTCAATCGCTGACATGAAAAAAAGTATAAAACACAAAAAAAAATCCTTTTAAAATAAAGAATGGAAAAAACTATTTTAATTGTTAGGGGGAAATTTTGAAGTTTTGTTCTAATTGATGAACCTGCGACATCAGAGAGACAGAGAGAGAGAGAGAGAGAACAATTAGTCTATTGTGTATTCATGTCCGGTCACTATATACATATATATTGATTGAGTTTGACCGAGAGAAATTTAGTCGACAATGGAGAATCTAATTAATCGTACCTGGGCCAAAATGAAAGCACCGCTACACACACACACACACACTTATAAGCAATCAAACAGAAAGTAAAATGTGTATTGTACATACAACGAAGGAACCAAAATCACAATTAAATAAAAAATAGTGCCATATAACAAAAAAAAAGAAGCTCAAAGACAGTGCAATATTTTTTCGTTTTTATCAGTTTTTGAATATACTAATAAAGGAAGGTTATTCATTAGTGTCAGCAACGAAAAAACAGTTACAATAATTTTTGGAATTTCGTTTAAATACACTAAGAAAAAAATTGTTTTTTCATTTAAAAAAATAAGCAGTCAATCAAAAAAATATATTTTATAATAAAATAAAAACTTCAAAGACGTTTACTACTGCACTGAGAAAACAATTTATTTGATTCAAATAACCGATTAATTGACTATTATCAATTAAATATTTAATTGAATCAAATAATATTTATTGGAGTGAATTAAATGGTTCAATTCATATTTGCTTCAAATACTGAAATTATTGGTTTAAATACCATTTAATTGACTCCAATAAATATTATTTGATTCAAGTAATTTAATTGATAATAGTCAATTAATCGGTTATTTGAATCAAATAAATATTTTTTCATTGTGATTTCAACGTTTCCTTTTGGAAAAGTTCTGTCTATAATTCTGTCTATAATAATTCTGACTATAATCGTCTATCACTACTAATATTTGATTAAAAAAACTGTAAAAATTTAATTTTCAAACTTTTTTTAAAATCTGACTTCTATTCGTCGAGAAATTACTGAAAATTTTTTTGTCTGACTGTAATTGTCTATTACTACTTTTACTACTGTTTTTTATTTTTTCAATTTTTGTCCGACTATAATTATCTATTAATACTGGCATTAATTTTTTTAAAAAAGGAACAAATTTTGTCTGGCTGTAATCGTTTTTAACTACTTTTTTTAAAATTTTTTGTCTGACTGTAATGGTCTATTACTACTTCTACTACTGATTTTTATTTTTTTTTTGTGAATTTTTGTCAGAATATAATTGTCTATTACTACTTTTAGAAAAGTTCTGTCTGACTATAATCGTCTATCACTACTAATATTTGATTAAAAAAACTGTAAAAATTTAATTTTCAAACTTTTTTTAAAATCTGACTTCTATTCGTCGAGAAATTATTGAAAATTTTTTTGTCTGACTGTAATTGTCTATTACTACTTTTACTACTGTTTTTTATTTTTTCAATTTTTGTCCGACTATAATTGTCTATTATTACTGGCAATAATTTTTTTAAAAAAGGAACAATGTTTATCTGGCTGTAATCGTCTTTAACTACTTTTACTACTAATTTTTATTTTTAGCTATTTTTGTGAATTTTTTGTTTGACTGTAATTGTCTATTATTACTTTTACTAATGATTTTTATTTTTTTTTGTGAATTTTTTCTGAATATAATTGTCTATTACTACTTTTGAAAAAGTTCTGTCTGAATATAATCGTCTATCACTACTAATATTTGATTAAAAAAACTGTAAAAATTTAATTTTTAAACTTTTTTCAAAATCTGACTTCTATTTGTCGAGAAATTATTGAAAATTTGTTTGTCTGACTTTAATTGTCTATTACGACTGGAATTAATTTTTTTTTTCGAAAAGGAATAAAGTTTGTCTGGCTGTAATTGTCTTTAACTACTTTTACTACTGATTTTTATTTTTGTCTATTTTTGTGAATTTTTTGTCTGACCGTAATTGTCTATTACTACTTTTACTACAGATTTTTATTTTTTTGTGAATTTTTGGCCGATTGTAATTGTCTATTACTACTGACATTAATTTTTTTAGGAAAAGCAACAAATTTTGTCTGACTTTAATTGTCTTTAACTACTTATAGTAAAAAACTTTTTGTTACTTTATTTTATTGTACTTTTAATTCCATAAAAAATAAAATGACAAACGATTATTACGTAAGTTTTTCACTAATGCGTGATCTACCTTAAAAACTTCAGGTGCTGAGGATTTTTTTCATTTTCTACAAAAAAAAAAAAAAATTTTTAATATGGCTACTTAGGGTACCTTTGCTACTCAATAATTGCAAATTTGTTTTCAGTGTACATATAGTGTACAAGGAGAAATATAATTATAAGTTTCATAATCATATGTCAAAAAAAAAAGAATGAAGCAGGTCCTAATTTTTAGATTATTATCAGTGACTATAGTATCTTATATTTAAGACTAGCAACGTAATATTTACCATATCGATACTAAAATTCTTCATATCGAAAATTTTGAAAAAAATTAGTTTTTCTTAAAAACTGTTTTAATTAGTTTCGAAAAACAGTTTTTAATTAAATGCCTATCGACCTAAAAGTGTTAATCACGAAAGAAATGTTTCATTAAATTCTGACAATAAAATCATCTACTTTATACGATAGTTTATTCAAGTTTACATTAAATTATTTATCAAAATGGTGTGTGAAAGTTGAAAAAAAATAATTTGAAAAAATTCTAACTATTTTATTTATAAAAACAAAGTGTATTTAAAAAATATTTACAAAGTAATAACATGAAAGTACGTAAAATTTAATGAAGTTGCTATTAATTAGTAAACTCTATTTATCGATAATTTTTAAATCAAAATTTCCATTTGGAAAGAAATAAAATTTTTACCACGATTAGAAATTGAAACAGTGTAAAATGACCAATAGATAAAAATTTTAAAAAAAATCTACGTAATGTTTTTTTACAATTTTAAAATGTTTTCTGAAACGGATTTTTTTATTTTAATTTTTTTTTTCTATTTGTAAATTTTTTCGTAATTTTTGTAATTGAATTCTTAATTTCTTATTCAGAAAAAAAATAGAATTTTTTTTCTGAGTTAAAAGTTAAAAATATAAAAAATGAAACGTAAGTAACAATTTTATCAAAATAAAAAAAATTTATAGAGAAAAATATTTGTTTCCATAAATTTTTTTATAGCCAGTGTATGAAATTCAAAAAATTCAGTTTTCTTGAAATTATGAAAAAAAAATTGTGCAATTTTTTAAATTCTGTCAAAGAATTTACAAAGAAAAAATATATCCTTGCCATTTGAAAAGCTCTCCTATCGATTTCATGTTCAATCGAAAAGGACAGTTATCAAAAAAAAAATAATGAAAGTAAAATACCATATAGTGATAATAAATGTAATTAATATTAAATAATCATATGTATCCAAAAAAAACGTGTTCTTGTCAAATTTTACTCTAACTCGTTAAACAATATTGTCCATTCCAAAAAAAAATCTACGTATTGTTTTACATATCCCAGATGTGTAAAATGTAAAAAAATTAAACATTTTACATATCGAAAAAAAAAATCATATTAATTATTGTGATGGGGAAAAAACTCCTTCGAAATTTTATGAATTTAAAAAGAAAGTTAGAAAAATAGTTTATAGACAATATACACATATAAAAATAAAAATACAATTATCTATTGTATTATATTACAAATTAATATACATTATAATAATACAAATTAAGCAGTATATTAAAAATATACAATTATATAGTTAAAATAATATTAATTATATACAGTATATTAAAAAATAAAGTAAAAAGTATACAAAAAATACAAAAAAAAATTTTGCTCCCTCCTCATGAGGAAGCAAGAAAATATACCGTATATAAAAAAGAAAAGTTGAACCGAAAGTATAAAGACGAATTTTCAGAGGTTATAGAAAGAAAAATAAAAGTTAAATTAGAAATTAAAAAAAAAGATATAAAATAATGTCAAAAAAAATACGTTTCTTTCTAAATATAAATAACTTCTGTTAATTTCGTCTAAAAATTATATCAAATTATCAAACAAAAAATACAAAAAAAAAGAAATTTAATAATAAAGAAAAAAATATTCCTTGACAATACTAGATAAACATAGTCGATTAATCGTCTATGAGATTATATTTCCTAAAAAGATTTTTAAAAATATTTATTGTGAATTATTATTCACGTCTGAGACGTGTCTGCTGGAATAATGTGTACTAATAAACGTACTCTAAAACACAGAAATAAAAAACATATATAGAATGGATAGTTCGATATAATACGTAAAAACAAATTATATGAAAGTTAAAAAAAATTAACACGTTCGCGAAGCGATTTTTATCATCAGGCGTATATAGAGCAAATATTTAAAGTGTAATTTGGTGGGGAAATAATTTTTTGTTCTAACGGTAGCATTTTTTTATTTTGCTTTTTAATGTGATTGCAATTTGTTACATAATCACTAAAATTAACGTCTGACTCTAATTGACTTATACTACTGGTTTTCATTTGTTAGTGGCTAAAAGAAATCGCGATTTTTCTACTGAAATTAATTTTTTTCAAAAATAGAGAAAATCTTGTCTGACTATAATTTTCTCGAACTACTGATTAATTGATTATTATGATTTTTTAGTCTACAATTGACTTTTTTATTTGTTACGACTTGGAAAAATGCAGTCTGACTGCAATCGACTTTTACTCTTTTTTTTCTTAAGAAAAGGATCAAATTTTGTCTGACTGTAATTGTCTTTTACTACTGATTTCTATTTTTGTTTTTTGTTTCGTGAATTTGTTGTCTGACTACAATTGTCGATTACTACTGGCATTAATTCTTTTTAAAAAGACAAAAAAATTTGGTCTGACTGTAATCGTCTCTTACTACGTTTACTACTGAAAAAAATGCTAAAAACTTTTTATCATAAAAATCTGCAATCAAAAATTTCTACCTGAAATTCTACCCAGAAAGTATAATTTATTCTTTTAATTAATTAAAAATAATTATTAAATTAATTTTAATTTTAATTATTATACGACAATTATTTCCACCAAATTAACACAGTAAATTTAAAAAAGAAAAACGCTATAGAAAACTTACACTATTAATAATTATTTTAATTAGTCATTAATTTACAAAAGTAACAAAAAAAGTAAATAAATATTATTTTAAGTAATACCAAATAAAATTATTCATTAAATTATTATCTAGTTTTCTAAGTATAATTCTATAATTATCATTCATCATTTTAATTATAAATTATCAGTTTTATTGCCATAATAATTAATTAATTAATAAACTGAAGATTAAGTTAATTATTTCTACACAATTCTATTTGGTACGTGAATTCAATTGATATGAATGAAAAGTTAAGAAAAAAAGTTTGCCCAGGAAAAATTAAAAAATAGAAGTAAAAGAAAAAAAGCAAAGAAAGACAAAAAAAAAGTAAATAAAAATAAAAATAATAAAAAAATAAAATAAAATTAGTCAAAAATAAAATAAAAAAATAAAATGAACAACATTTAAATTTTCAATTAAATATATATTGAAAAAAATTCAATTAATAATAATTAACTTTTGCATTCATATCAAGTACCAAAAACAAATACAAGCAACAAATTTTGCTTCTTAATGCTGTACTGGAAAATGAAAGCAAAAAAAAAAAAAAAAGATTTTTAGCCCTAGGAGAATAAAATGCGAAATCTAATTTAGATTATTAATTATTATTATCGACATGTACGTATATTGAAAATAATGAATTAATGTACAGTTGGTAATTGTTAAATATAATCAGTTTTAACAAAATAATGTAGCAAATATATTATGATCGTAAAAAAAAAGGCGACGCGTAATCATCTTGCCACTTGTATATCTAAGACGTTAAAAAAGAAAAAACAAAAAAACATGAAACATTACATTATGGAAAGTCGTTGTACCAATTAACTGTAACCAACTGATTGACCGGAATAAAGATATTTAAACAATTTCCTTCGCTTTTTATTTTTGATCCATTTTTTTTTTTTTAATTTATAATTTTTACTTTGATTAATAAACCCAAGTTTACTTAATTTTTAAACGCTATTCATCCATAAATGATTATTAATAATTATTATTAAATAAATAAATTAAATAAATTTTTATTAAATAATTGAACTTTCCAGGTGGTACTCGAGTACCACTGGAACTATCCTGGTAATAAGTTTATTCTAAATTTTTTTTATAAATTCAATTATTTTCCAAATTTTTAATTAGAATTCTTCAAAAATACGGATTATATTTTAAAATAATTTTCAAAAGTAAGCAAATGAAAATTCATTAAAATATTAAATTCATTTCAATGAAATTTGTCAAAATTTTCAATTGTTTCAATATTTTAAAATTATTTTCAGAAATACAACTAATTTTAAAACATTTTAATTACATTTTTTTAAGAATCAAATTTTTTCAGAATTTCTAAATTAAATTATTCAATACTTTTTGTTAAAAGAAAATTAAAAACTTATTCTTATTTATTTTTCCACAGGAATTCAAAATTTCAAATAATTGCAATGAAAAACCTCATGAAATTTAATTATTTCTAAAAATTGCAAACTTTAGGAATTTTAAAGAAAAATAATGTAATTAATACACTAAAAAAAAAATTTATTTGATTCAAATAACCGATTAATTGACTATTATCAATTGAATATTTACTTGAATTAAATAATATTTATTGGAGTTAATTAAATGGTATTTGAATAAATAATTTCAGTATTTGAAGCAAATACCGTTTAATAATTATGTTTCAAAAATTATTTTAGAAAATATTTTAAAATTAATTCAGAAAAAGATCTTAATAATTATTTTACACTCAAAGAATTTTCAAGCTATAGGAAATTTGTAACTTTTAAATAATAGAAAATTATAAATTTTAATAAAATAATTAAAATAAATAAATAATAAAATTATAATAAAATTAAATATCAAAATACATTTTTCAAAAATAAATTTAGTTTACTTTCTGTTTCTATCTGACAATAGTAGAGAGAAATATCTAGAGAGAAAGAGAAAAGAGATAGAGAGATAGAAATGAAAAAAAAATTATTTATAAACACAATCGTTATATATTGTTTATTGTGCTCATGAATTTATAATTATTTTTAACTTCATCGAGTGTTAATGAATTGTCATTTGAGCCATCAGAACGGAAGCATTGCTTCGCATTTATTTCTCAATGTGAGTGACAGTTTTGTTTTAGAAGAAATAGCAAATCTATATTATATATAGTATATATAAAAAGGGGAGAAAATGGAAAAAAATTATTAACAATCCCTACAATTATTAAAAAATTAAAAGTGTTTTTTACGCAATTTTTAAACATTTCTGCAAAAATTTTTAAACACCTTGAAATTTTTCAAATTTTTTTCAGTGGCAGTGCTTTTTTTTAAAAAATTTTCAAGCTGTTAACTGTACAGATAAAATCGACAGAGGCCAAAATGGCCACTGACGTGATCCCAAATCGTGTGATGCACGATGAATTTAAAAAATCACCCTTCTTCAAAAATCCCATTCAGGAGGAGGAGGATGAGGAGATATTTGATCAAGGTAAAATTTATAAACGTTAATTAATTAATTGCTAAAAACTAATTTATTTATGAACTGAAAAAATTTTGTAATTTTTTTTCATCACTTTTATGTTTATTATTTAGTTTATATTCCACTTATTTAATTAATTTTTTTATTTATTTTTATTTTTTGTTATTTATAGTCATTTGAATATTATTTAATATTCAAATAAATAAATTTATTTATTAACGGGACAAGCCTTTTCGTACAATTAGTAAATTATTTATTTTATTTATTTATAAACATGTCATAAACCCTTTCGTACAAATTGTACTCCTAAATTCTAAAAGTTACATAGGTGACAATCAAAAAAAAAAATATTTTTTTTAAACAAAATAATATTATTTTATTTATTTTATTAATTTTGTTTGATTAATTTATTTACCTATCTAATTTACTTTTTATTCATTTAAAATTAAGTTTTCCCATTTGATAAAAAAAAAAAAGAATACTTTTTTTTTATTAAACTCTTAAAGTTGATAATATACAATTTTATTAATTCTAATAGAATATTAAATAAAATTAATAAATTAGAAAATAAAAAAAAATTTCTTAGGTAAAATAAAGAGTTTGATTAATTAATTATTTTTTAAGGCGCAATTTCAAGTTCGATTGCCACTTGACATTGAATTCAATTGAGTCAGAAATTCATTTGGACAATTTGGCACTTGCATTGTCAGTTTGCCAAATAAAATTAGAAGACAGATTGCTCATAAAATTTTATTCGAGTTTCAGAACGTCAATATATTAAATCTCAAGTAATCAATTAATCGTAATTTTTAGTTAAGAACGTAAATTTTCAGTGTGGATTATTCATGAAAAATTAATTTAACTGTAAAAGAAATTTTTTAACAACTATAAATAATTTCTAATTTGATTTAATCATGTTTAATTAATTAATTAATGATTTGATTTTTCATTGATTTCCAATAATTTATTTTTTAGTTTTTCATATTTATTTTCTTAATTTCTCATTTTATTTGCTTCTTTATTTTATTTATTTCTTTATTTTACTTTATTTACTTTTTTTCTATATAACAATTAAGTGTCGTTACTTTTCAAAAAATAATTGAGAAAATAATTTTTTTTAGGATTCAGAAAAGAATTAAATGAACCAGATTCAATAACAATGGACCCAGAAAATTATGACACTGATTCGGAGAGTGAATCTGAGGATATAAATGATGAAATTCGAGAAAACTGTGATGTCTCTCAATCACTTAAAAATGGTAAATTTGATTTTTATTCAAAACATTTTTTGTTCATTTTCAGAAAAAATTAAAACTAATATTTTTTCTTTGAATATGCAAAAAAATTTCTTTTTATAATATTACTTGTTTTAAAATTGATAAAGAGAAAATTTATAAAAATTGTTAAACACTGAAAAAATTATTTATAAACAAATATGAACTTTTTTAATTTAAAATAAAAATTGAAATTATAATAATGAAAATAAATAGAAATTAATAAAAAATATTAATAAAAATATAAAATGTCAAAAAATAAAAAACGAGTTTGTAAGAAAACGTGAAAAAAACAAAAAATATAAGAAATGATCAAAATAAAAAGTGCAGTTTCAGTTAAACAATAAATATTGTAATAAATAATTCAAAAATTCAAAATTCAAATTTTTTTATTCGAAAAAAACCCTAAAATATTTTCTCAATTTTTTTCAGTGGCCCGAGTATTGAGACTAGTTTCCCAAGAAGCAGAAGACGACAACGACGACATTGTCATAAAAAATGTCAAAGAATATCGACGAAATTTCGACGGTTTTGCTGAAATAATACCATTTGACTCGCTACACTCAATGCACGAATACATTCGTTTAAATTTAAAAAATCAACACTCCGAAGAAATCGAACCATTAAAACAGGAAATTTATCTCAATATTTTATTACGAGTAAAACCTGAGGAGCGTTTCAATAAATTATTGGAGTCTTGTGATCCAATTATTCGTCGCATTCTCATGGCAAATAGAATAATATTGGAAGATCTTTTTAAAATTGCAAGTCTCGAGAAATTACCGTGTCCAATAACTTTTGACAGTGAAAATAAACATGAATTTGCAAGTCAAACTGATGAGGACGACACTGACTTAAACATTAAACCATGGTACATGCTCGAAATGATTGGCATCTGGTTAAACTTCATAAACAATCAACAAACTTTTCGAGATGAACTTCGAAATGAATTATTAGAGAAGTGCCTCGCTGGTATTTCCGTTCCTTTGAAATTTAAATAATTTTATTTCTTAATTGTATATTAGATTTGTAAATTATTGAATAAAAGAAAATTAATAAAAAATACTGTCACTGCTAAATTTGCATTTTTTATTTGTCAGACATTTTTATTAAAATTACTGGGAAAAATTAAATTTTTAAAATTCAGAAGAAAATTCTAAATTTTGTTGTCTTTTTTGTTTGTCTCATAAACTATAATTATGAAATCACCACGAATTCTAATAAAAAACCTTCAATTTTTTCTATTTCTTACAATAATTTCTTTTTAAATAACTTAATTCTTGAACAACTATCATAAAATTATTACGTAGAAATTATTTACTGAATAATTTTACGATTTATGAAATAAATAAAATAAATAAAATTTGTAAAACAAATATTTCAAAATTAATTCAATTTTAAAAAACTTGCGTTTACAATTTTCATAAATAGATCAACTTCAAAAGATTTTAATTTGAAATTTTAGAAAATTTAAATTTTTAAAGAATTTTATTAAAAATTATAAAAAACTTATATTTTTGCAAAATGTTAATAATTCAAATTCTTCTTGAAATTATTTTAATGTGTCAATATATATTTAATTAATTTCATTAAAAATAATGGATTTATAGAAAAATTTTAGTTAAAACAATTTTTTAAAATTAAATTTCTGAGAAGTTACAAATGATTGGAGAAATTCAATTATTTTCAAAAATAATAAAATTCTTCTTACAAAGTTCAATTATGTTCAAAATTAAAAAAAAAATACTTATCAAAATCACAATCATCTTTATAAATAAAAAAATAACAATATTCTTCACCAAAATTCAATTATTTTCAAAAATTTTCCTCATTTCAATGATTTTCAATATCTACTGTTTTAATAAATTTCCCAAAAGAATTCAAATATTTAAAAAAAATTTTAATAAAATTGTACTCAAACATTTAATTATTGTCATAAATAATAAAAACTTTACAGGAATTGAATTATTAGCATATTTTTTATAAATTTCTTCGGAATAATTCAATTAATTTCATAAATAATAAATTTTTTTTTATGAATTCAATTATTTTTATAAATAATAAAGCTCATCGCAGAATTTTAATTATTTTTAGTACAATTTTAATCGAATTCCTCGAAAAATGTAATTATTCTTAATTATTTAAAAATTTGTTGATAATTTTCTTTATAAGAATTAAATTTTAAAAAACATTCATATATTCAATAAATTATTTACTTTTGTTTTTAAATAATTAAATAATTTTGAAAAAGTTAGAAATTAAAAAATTTGAAAATTTGAACTTTCTATACTTTTAACTGGCAGTTCTGAAGTATTAGGTTTTTTTGAAAAAGTTGAATTTAATTTTTTTTAAAAATAATTTGACGTTTTTATTTTCTTATTATATTTAATTGAAGAATTTCCGAATACTCGAAATTTCGTAAAATTGAATTTAAAACAAATGTATTTGAAAAATCTCAAAGAACTTTTTCAAAAATTATTAAAAATAGTCGATTTAGAGAAGAATTTTAGTTAAAAATTCTAGAAAATATTAATTAAATTGAAATGATGAAAATAATTTTTATAATTATTTATTTTTATAATAATTAAAAGAACAAATACAAAAACAATATTTTCTACAGAAAAGAACAAAAGCATACACAAAAACTAACTTCAAAATGTGAACAGACAGAAAAAATGAAAGAATTATATACGAAGATTATTATAGTTAATTAGGGAAATTTTTTAGTCTGACTACAATTGACCTTTACTACCTATTTCGATTTTCCTTGGATTTATAAAACTTTTGTCTGACTAAAATCAATTATTACTACTGATTTTATTTAAAATAAGAAATAAAACAAAATTGTCAGTACTGTAATCATTTAATAGCCATTGACTTTTACTCCTGATTTCAATTTTTCCTGAGTTTCTAAAAATCTTGTCTGACTAAAATCGATTTTTACTACTGATTTTAATTTATAAGGAATAGAAAAAAATTAAGTCTGCGACTAACTTCTCTTCCTTTAATCGAAACAAGTTTGGTGTACTTACAATTGACCTTTACTACTGATTTCAATTCTTCTTGAATTTATAAAAATGTTGTCTGACTAAATTCGATTTTTACTACTGATTTTAATAAAAGAAATAAGAAAATGTCTGACTATAATTGTCTATAACCATTTATTTGTATTTTTCCCAGATCCTTACGTTTAGTCTGACTGTTATTGACCTCTACTACTAATTACAATTTTTTCTTAACTTGTAAAACTTTTGTCTGACTACCAATGACTTTCACTACTAATTTTCATTTTTCCCGAATTGTTCACTAACTTTTCTTTGTAATCGCGTTTTACTACTAATTTTCACTAGATAATAAAAACATGTTTGACTATAATTGCATTTTATTCCTTATATTTTATTTTTAGAAATATTCGTAAACAATCTGTCTGACTACCATTGACTTTCTCTACTTATTTCCATTTTTCTAGATTTTGTAAAAGTTTCGTTTGAATATGATTTAAATTTATTACTGATTTTTTACTACTTATTTAATTTACTGTTTTAATGAAAGAAAAAGCTGTTTGTCTGATGATAAAATCGTCTTTTACTACTACTTTCATAATTGTAAATAAAGAAAAAATGCGCCTGACTAAAATCGTCTATAACTACTTGAATTTTTGTTAAACTCCGTAAAAAAAATAAAGTAAATAAAACAATTCAAAATCTGGCTGAATGAAAATGACATTTACTACTGATTCCCATTTGATAAAATTAAACAAATTTTGGGCTGACAAAAAATGGGTTTCTACTACTGTTTTCTAGTTTATACCAAATAATAAGAGTTTTGTCTGACAGTAACTGACTGTTTCTACTAATTTCTATTTTTTACAATTTAGTAACGTTATGTCTGACTATATAATTGACTCTTACTACTATACAAAAACAAGAAAAAATAATTAGTAAAATTCTAAACTTAATCGTCTATTACGACATTAATTTTATTTTTCAAAATTCGAAAAACCCAATCGACTCCCACTAGAAACTTTTTTTTTTTAAATAGAAAAACTTTTGTCGGACTACTGTTTTACTTCTACTACTTAATATGAGCAAACATTCAAAGACATTCGTAAAAAGTTTTGTCTGACTGCAATCGACCCTTACTACTGATTTAAATTTATTATATCATAATTATTATTTTTTTTAAATATTTAAAAAAAAACTCTAAAATCGTCGCCTATAGAATGCATACGCGCACTCTACTATACCAACAAGGTGGTTGTTGAAAATTTTCCAAATGCAAACACCAGAGAGCGTCAAGTGACAGAAAAATATTTCCAAATATTCGATAAACTAGAAAATTCACATAAATCGACTAACTAATAAATCCATCCTGAATATAGTAAAACAAAAACAAAATTTTACAATTTCTATATAATTAGTTGTCAAAAAAAAAAAATTATAAAAAAAATCCTAAGTGAAAATTATTCAAATATTGTACTTTTTTTCTAATAAACAATTTATAGTGCTAAAAAATATTCGAAAGTAAATTGTATAATAATAATTGTCATAAGTAAAATAATAATAATAATAATAATTTTAAAGAACAATAATAATAATTATTGTTATCAACTTTATTATTAAAATTTTCTAGAGTGATAGTTTTAATTATAATACAAATTATTATTATAAAAGATTGTTAATAATTATGAAAAATAATTGAAAATAATTTATAATTATAAACTAATAATAATTATAAATTAATAATCATCAACTAATAATAATTATAAATTAATAAAAAATAATAAAATTCGAAAAGAAAAAACTATTAAAATATATCAAGATAGAAATCAAAATTCTTTATTAAATTAAATTATCCCATATATTTTAGATTGTTTTTCTTTACTTTAATTTTCTTATTTGTATTTATTTATTTATTATTATTAAATAAACAGGTCAACAGACAAAAAATCATTTAACTTTATTTTGTTTTATTATATTTATTTTTCTTTATTTGTGTTATCATTTATTTAATAAACAAATAAATAAATAACAAAATAAATAAATAAATAAATCATACAAAAGAAATAAGAGGTAAAAAATATTATTCCAATTCATGTCTAAATTAAAAAAATTTTCTATTTTCAGAATTAATACTGTAATATTGTAATTTTTTTTTGCATCGAATATAATACCACTCTCTGTTTTTTTTTATTTTATTCCCAGAAAGAGAGAAAGACTCTCTTTGTGAATAAAAGAAAAAAAGTGAAGCCATAATCAATCAAATAGTTACAAATTAAACATGAAATTGACCGAGTAAATTGAAACAATCGATTCTTGATCAAATGACCCGTCGAGAATAATTTAATGAAATATGAATAAAATCGAAAGATATTGTGAATATAAAGCATAAAATGTTTTTCTGATGATTTCGTCAAAAAAGAAAGAGATAAAAAAATATAAAAGGGTGAAGGTCTGATAAATGTATTTTTACATAAAATTCGATCTATAAAAACTTTGAAATATCGGTCACTGTAGAATATTAATTGAATATAATTGAACGTTACGTTATTTTTAAAGCTCTCGGAATTTTTTTTCTCTCCCTTTATATACATATACATATATATATATATATATACACAACGACTGTTGTCTATATTGAGAATGAGAATAAAAGAAAAAAAAATTGCTTTTATTTTAAACATTTCATTGAAACATTGTAAATTGAAAACAAATTAATACCGATATAACTGTTTTATTTAAAAACATATTTTATTGAGGATTCCATTTTATTTTTGTTTCGTTAATTAAAGACACATAAATTTTATTCAATAATTTCTCTCACGAAGGGTGATAATAATTTTCAATTTTTTATTATTGTAACAATTGTGTTTGATAACTGTATTTTTTGAGAAAAAAAAGATAAAATAAATATGCTTAAATTTGCTAAATGTGACAAATAAAATTTCATAAAAACAATAATTTTAAACCCATTTGTAAACAACTTTATTCAGGTATGCAAATAAATTGAAATTTAACATATTTTTAATTCTCATTTTATATTGAAAATGTATTTTTTATTTTTTAATTTACTTCCATAT